TACATTGAAACAGACGCATGTTCGTAAAATGATGGAGGAGTAAGGCAAAATGCCATGGGGGCAGGGTTGAAAAACATGTCAAAGCTTCTGAGCCAAAGAGGTGCCCCTCAGTTATCTTGTTTTCTGAGACTGTCTGTGATGGAAGAGTTTCTTTCCATGCTGTAAATCAGCCTGTGACCGGCTTGGATGGTAACCTGCTCTATACTTAACACAAAAACCACATTGCGTCCTTAACACATTCGAAATAAAAACTTCTACAACTGTGCCCTCAGTGCATTTGCCCAGTAGCAGACAGGTGCTTCCTGTCTATTGAGTCACTGATTTCCTTTTAGAGGGCGCAATGCAAAGTCTGTACATGGACAATGTAAAAAAGCAAATGCAAATTATTGTTATTCTACAATGCAATACCACTTATAGGGCTCCTTGGATGTCAGTCTTCATCCCAAGATAAAGCTGACGCAGAGCAATGGCCTCAAATGGCGGAAACATAAATGAAATGCTGGCCATTCAGAAACAGCACATACGTCTATTATGAATCAAAACTATCCCCAATTGCTACTCTGCTCATAAGCCAGTAGCTATTTACACACACGATTGTCTGGGGTTGCTGTATCTCTCGTGCAGAGGGAACTTGCTGGCATTTCAGATCTGGACTGCCCTTACGGGTGGGACCAGTCTGATATGCTTCAGAGATGTTCTCTATGTAATGGCACATGTGAGAAAAAACTATTTTGAGACCTGAGCGTGGATGTACCGAAGGGCAAGCTATCGAGTCTCTCTAAACTTTTCTCTTCTCAGAGTTCTCATCCTTTCTTTTTTGCTATTTACACACACCATGGTAGCAATAATTTAAAGGAATATTAGAGAGAAATGCAACACTTCATTAACAGCTGAAACCCTATTTGTTTGTTTTTTATACTTTATTAACAACCTGACTGCAACAAAACAGTCACAAAATCCTAAAACAATGCGTGACAAGGGCACTAGAAGATGGGGCACACACAGTGCATCCCATAGACACCCACTGTATCACCAGCACACACACATTACATTCCTTACACGCATTGCACCCCAATGTCATACAGCATCTCCAACACAGGCACGCTGTTTTACCAGGACACACAAAACATTCCTTACATAATACATCATTTACACACACAGACTGCATTACCAGCAAAAGCACACTACATCCCCTTAACACATTATCCCGCATATACACACACACACACATTGTGTCCCTATGCACAAACACACTCCTACACACACTACATTCCCTACACAAACACCACATTCCCCACGCATGCACTGCTCATTGGAATGATATACACGGTTTATGCATTTAATACATTAATAGCATTCCCTTGCTGGAAAATTAAGAACTCCTATTACTAAATGCTTGCCTGGTTGGGCAGATCTCCCTTATTGATTAGTGATGTTTAAGTCTCAAATGGGCAGAGCAGTTGCTCCCCGCGCTGCTTTCACATGTCACATTTCACAATGCCCAAGTGCATAGCACTTTAATCCGTTCTATTAAATTATCTTGTATGTCTTTCATTTTTTTTTTTATCCATTACGTTGAAAAGAAAAACATATTGCTTCCAATAAAAAAAAAAAAACAAGGAAATGGCAAGGATACATTCAAAAAGCAGATATATTACAGTCTAAATATCTTTACATACCATTTCAATTCAACTATCGTTTCCCAAACAGTAAGTTAATTACACAAATTAGTATGTATCTTTTGCCTAAAGTGTTTTTACGTATTATCATCTCTTTGTAGATTTGAGGGGAAAAAAACACATAAGTGACTGAATATATATAAAAGACAGTACTACATTAAATCTACATACATTCAACATTCACTCAAGGTCCTACTCCAGGGGAGGGGGGAGGAAGAGTTAATGCAACATTTCCCATCTAGAATAAGCCCGTATTGTTCTCCCTGAAATGTTTCTAAGTGGCCCAAAGCTTCAGATATTTAACATATTTGGATTGATCTTGATAAAAAGAAGCCTCCCTTTTATGTTGGTAATCTATTTGTAGTAACATCTTTGTCCAACTTTAACCATCCTGAGATTTCCATTTACGTGCAACACAAATTTTAATTGCTAACCTTATATGAATGATTAAACAGTTCTGAGTATAATTTCCAGGTAACAGAATATTGTAAAGGAAAATCTGGGAGATTAGATCAAAGTAAATTCCTAACAGAGACTTAAGAAAAAATCTGTAAGGACTTAATAGTTTTTTGTTTTTTTTTAACTCGGGCAACCCCACCAAATGTGTAGGAAAGAACCAACGTTAGATTCACATCTCCAACACAATTGTGATGTATTGGAATAAAGTTTATGCAATCTAACTGGAACTAAATACCATTGTAGAGTTATTTTGTACTGATTTTCTATTAGATTCATATTGTGAATATTTTTCCTTACTATTATCAGACCCTTCAACCATTCTTCATAATCCAATTTAACATTCATCTCTATTTCCAATTTAATCCGTGGGGAGATTTTTTCTTGTGGTTGGAATTGGGCAAAAAAAATTAGAAACCCTAGATGTGATCTTATGCTTGTAGTGTTTATTTTAAAAGTCAATCAAAGGGTTATCCACTACAATCGTTTTTTTTGTGATTACATTTTTCACTCTAAGATAGCTAAAGACTTCTCTGGACAATAAATCAAATCTTGACTGAAGCAAACCAAAAGATAACAAAGACTCCTCTAGTGCTAAATCTTTTAGAGTTTTGATGTTATTTTCTCTCCACCTTAATAGACTATTGTCACATATCTAATTCCATAGATTCTAATGGCATATTATGCAGAAGGAAATTTCGTAAGCCCAACACTGTAATCTTTAAATTGTAGAAATTGTATAGACATCTCCAATTATCGGGTTATGAATAGGAATACTCCTGCTTATTTTCTCCCCAGAATCTATATTATATAGTAAACAAAGAGATTCTAATTTCTCTAAATCTTGTTTTTCAATCTCCAGCCAAATAGGTCTGGGGATTGACAAATTATCCCAAGCGATGGCGTGTGCAAACATATTATTATTATACAACGAAAATATGTTAGGAAATGACAACCCTCCCATTTTTAAGTCCCTATACAAAATATCTGTGGAAATTCTAGATTTCTAGTCCTGCCAAATAAATGTATTAATCATTAAAGGACCACTATAGTGCCAGGAAAACATACTCGTTTTCCTGGCACTATAGTGCCCTGAGGGTGCCCCCACCCTCAGGGACCCCCTCCCGCCGGGCTCTGGGGGGAGGAAGAGGTTAAACTTACCTCTTTCTCCAGCGCCGGGCGGGGAGCTCTCCTCCTCCTCTCCTCCCTCTTCTTCCGTCACCGGCTGAATGCGCATGCGCGGCAAGAGCCGCGTGCGCATTCAGCCAGTTCATAGGAAAGCATTCTCAATGCTTTCCTATGGACGCTGGCGTCTTCTCACTGTGAAAATCACAGTGAGAAGCATGCAAGCGCCTCTAGTGGCTGTTAATGAGACAGCCACTAGAGGCTGGATTAACCCTAATGTAAACATAGCAGTTTCTCTGAAACTGCTATGTTTATAAAAAAAAAGGGTTAAACCTAGCTGGACCTGGCACCCAGACCACTTCATTAAGCTGAAGTGGTCTGGGTGCCTATAGTGGTCCTTTAATTGAATTTCTTTGAGTACTAATTTATTAATTCTGAGAGGTATGTTTTTAAACAAATATAAGATCTTAGAGAGCAGATAGGTTCTTACAACTTCCACTCTTCCCATCCAAAATAATTCCATCCCTTTCCAATTTGATAAGGTGTTTCTAAGATTGGAAAGTTTGAAATTATTATTTTCTTTTCTGAGATTATCTAAATCCATATAAATTTTGATCCCCAAATAATCTATATATTTAGAATGCCAATCAAATTTAAATCTTGATTTAATATACTCAAGATCCACAATACATACATTGTTGAATAATATTTGAGTTTTATTAAAATTTAACATTCCTACCACATCTACTCTCCCTGTTTAACTCCCCCCCATAAACAAGTTAAACAGGGAGAGTAGATGTGGTATTAGTAGTGTCTGGAACGTCTTATAGTATAAGCCAGAGAACCTGTCTTGGCACAGACTTTTTTTGGTTTTAGGGTTTTTATAGCTTGTGCAATTTCTTCATTAGTTATAGGTGTAGCGAGGGCTCTTCGTCCCTCATCTGTCAGTGTTGGCATGGAGATGGAACAAAGGAATTCCCCTAGAGATGGTGTTTTGCCTAGAGTGGTGATTATGATCGTATAGAGAGGAGTAGTAATTTTGAAATATTGTTGCGATTTGGTCTGGGAGGACACACGTCTGGTCATCGGGTGCTTGCATCTTGTCTATGTGTTTATTTTGTATTCTTTGTCAGAGCCTGCAGGCTAGGAGTGTGTCAGCTTTATTTGACTTTTCGTAAAACATCTGTCTAGTCCAAATCTCAGAGGGTGGATGGGGGGTGAACTGACAGGGTGGGATCAAATTGTAGTACCTACCGACCCTTGTGGGACTGGTTGTATGTGCATAGAAGCCTTATTTTTCAGTATATGGTGGTTGGGTAACAATTGAAGCTAGTGAGCCCATGAGAGATAGTTGCATCATCCCCTGCACAGGAAAACATCTACACACATATGATCACATTTAAAGATAGTATTACCTTCCATGGTCTGTCCCCGAAGATCAAAGAGGGTTATGGGGAATGGGCTGGAAGCCCACAGAGACCAGGCTCAGGGAGACTAAAGCAAGCTACTTCATCCCATTGAGCACTAAAGGGGGTAGTCTAGGCCCATGGCCGCTGGTGGTGTGAGGGGGCCGCAGGGGGTTCTAATTGCACGGAGCCCCTGGGGTTCCGTTGTGGTCTGGAGTCCAGGTTTTGGTAGTGAGATGGTACCCGAAAGTTGGTAAGTTTCCCAGGGGGAGGCCATGTGCGGGGTGTTATATTGGTAAAAAAAAACTAAAAACCAAGATAATATATTGTGGCCTTAATCGAGTTGTGGGGAGAGAGGGAATTGGGGCAGGGTGGGGGCGAATGGTATAACCTGTAATCCTCTGGAAGCCCGAGGAATTGAGCAGTCCGTAGTGGCTCCTATGGCCCCAGGTCAGTTCATTTTGGGGAGGGTCGTACAATCGGCTATTCGTGGTTCCTGGAGGTCGCCGATGCCCTTTTTCGTGGTATTCGGCGAGGAGATTGTGATGAGGTCTTGTTCAGATGCGTCCGGGAGGATGGTTTTGAACAGGCCTTTTAATGTGCTGTGCAGGCCTTCTGGTACGACCGTTTCGGGTAGACCCCTATTCTGGATATAATTATTGCGCCGGGATCTATTGTTAAGGTCTTTCAAGCTCTCTTCCATGGACTCTATATTCGCATGGAGGTAGGTGAGGTCTTGGGAGTGTGCCTGGGTTTTGGTGGTGAGATCGTTTATGCATGCCTCAGCTTGGTTTGACCTGGTGGCTAGGGTTTCGATGTCGTCCTTCAAGTCTGAGAGCTGCCTGTCTAGCTCTGATGCCAGGTGGTACTTGATGTCCGTTGTGGCTTCCTTGAGCATGGTCTTCAAGTCCCTTAATGTTAGAGGAGCATCCTGTGCCCTGGTGGGTTCACTCCCATCGGAGTCGGTGCCCATCTCCTCCATTTCCTGGAAGCAAGATGGCTGCTGTTGTTCCTTCTGTGATCAGAACAGCATGTAGATTGATGAGGTATGTTCTTTCTTTTGTTTTCCAACACCCATCCCCTCAGGTAGTGGCTGGGTTAGAGTTGTGGGATTTGGGTGCACCCGTGAAGTCCATTTGCACTCGTGTGCGTGGATGTTTGCGGAATCAATATGCATGGGAGAGGGAGCTACAGACTTAAGCGTCCATCTTCCTCGAAGGTCAAGCTCCGCCCCGGTTTTATTGATTTTTATGTGTCTGCTCGGCCATTTCCTTTCTCACACTCTCCAAGGTGACCTTACTCAATGTCTCTCCGCATTTTTTGTTTTGTTTGTGTAACTATTTTTAAAAGAATACCTCTAATATAACACTTCAAAGTACACCACAAGATCGTGTTAGAAACCTCCCCCCTGTCATTCTGATTTAAAAAATCTTGAATATGAGATGACAGAGACAAGATATTTTCACTCTTACACAGCAGACTCTCGTTAAGTCGCCAGTTGTTTCTAACCTTATATTCAACATTGCTCTTGAGAGAAACAAAAATAGGGGTGTGGTCATACCACATTATTGAACCTATTTTAGTGTTTGTTACATAGTTCAGTAAATTAGATTTTAACAAAAAATAATCAATATGAGAGTATGTTTGGTGCACTTGGGGAAAAAAAGTATAATCTCGCCCCTGTGGATTGTTCACTCTCCAGCATATTGTTGGTTGCTATGTAGAAAATTTTGCATTACTTTAGTTGAATTTAAGATCTGGGAATCTATCTTAACTTTAGAATTATTTCTATCATATTTATGGTCCATAATGCTGTTAAAGTCACCTCCTATTATTAATCTGCCTGCTACCAGTTCGTCTATTCGGTTCATAAGTTTGTTTAAGAATCTTATAGGAAGTTGGTTTAGAGCACACAAATTGACAATTGTATATAATATATAATTTATTTTTGCAATTAAAATTAGATAATGGCCATTCTCATCTCTTTCTAAAAATATTTCCTCAAATTTGACTCTTTTTGAAATAATAATAGCCACCCTCTCTTTTTTTCTTTTTGATGTCCATATTTGCAGCAAGTATAAAAGGGCATTTAGAAAATCTCCACACCAAAGAGGCCTTCTCTTGCCAGTACGTTTCCTGCACTAGTGCTATGTCTACATTATTTTCTTGCAATAATTCATATACGTTACTGCGTTTCTGAGGTGAATTCAGGCTTCTAACATTCAAAAAGACTAGATTAATAGACATGAAAATTATTGACTGTTACTCACCTAAATTCATCAACTCCCTCCACCCCCCACCCCAGAACCTTCTGCAAACATATTGAAATCTATTCATTCAAATTGACCCTCCACCGACAAATCCTCAAGGACCCTCCACCCAACATCTTGTCTAATTCCCTTCCCCTTGCAAATATATACCATAGTTAAAATTGCTATGTGTTTCTAAATAAGTGTCTATGTGAACATTGCAGCCTGTGTGAGAACTATACCATTATTCTAAATATTTAATTAAGCCCCCCATTATCTCCAACTTCCCAACTAACCCCTCCCTTCTTCACACCTGGTCAAATTTATGAAATATATAAAGTGCTTGCCTGTTTAATATTTAGACTTGTCATTAATTACTACATGCGTACAGTTTTATATATTGTGTCTACCTTCATTACATCCCAATAATTATAAGAGGTGCATGCTCATTTTATTTTACTTTCTGTGTGAAAATATGCGATATTGCGACTACATATTTAGTTGTAGTTAAGCCACCCCCTTTTACCTAACTGAAGAGAGAGGGGAGGAGAAGGAAGGAACAGCGATCTTCTATCTATAGAATAGTCGCCGTTCCCCCATTCCCATCCGCTGTCCTCCCATCGCCCAATCACATCACTTCTCATCTTTCTGTGATGAATACCAAAATCAAGGTATAGCTCTCTTATACCACTAAGTGAAAGAAAAAAAAAAAAAGTTCAAAAATGACGGAAACATATCTTCAAAACTTATCAGAAACCCCATAATGAATGCTTCTGTTTGAGTTCTTGAGGAACTTTAAAAAGGTAAGAGAAATCCTGAAATGTAACTATTAGAGCTCTGGGAAATGTCCATCTATATTTGATAATTTTATCTCTTAAAGTATGTGTTTGCTCGACAAAGGGTCTTCTGATTTGGTGCGATGCAAATGAGATATCAGCGAATAGTTTGATATTCTTCTGTTCTTCATTTTTGACTGTTTTATTCCTTACCGCTTGCATTATCATCTCTTTGAGATAGTAGTTAGTAAATCTGACTATAACGTCCCTGGATAAAGACGCATCAATGCCTTTAGGTTTCGGTACTCTATGAGCTCTTTCAAAAGGATGTCAGCCAATTACCTGTATGGGTATAAATTCCTCAAAAATTTCTTAAGAAAATGAATGTTGATTTTGTTGTATAGCTTCTCGTATACTTCTAAGGAGAATATTCTTGCGCCTTGCCCTATCTTCCAAATCTATTATTTTATCCTCCAAACTTTTTATTTTAGATTCCATTTTTAAATAAGAGACTTGAAGTAGCTTATTTAATTAAGCTCAATATCGTGCTTAATTTTGCTGTATAATTCATCTAAAAGTGCTGATAGTAGAAGTTGGGTGATCCCTTGGGATTTAGAACCTAGAATAGAAGAATTTTCTTCGCATATGTCTGTAGTTTCAGGAGATCCATGTTTGTCCATTCTCTTAGTTTCTGCTGGGAGTGATTTTCAATGTTTGTCCTGGTAGCTTTAATTTGATTTCAGAGAGTAAAAAGTGTTTATAGGTCGATTTTCTTTCCTTATTTTTTTTTAAGAAGGAATGAGTTTCTCTTTTTCAGAGATTTTGTCTTTATCTTTCTGTTTAGGTGCCATTTTGCTCTGGTCTCAGTACTTTACCAATGCTTAATGATGAGAGAGGGACTGGATTGTTGGTCTGGATTATCAATCTGTATGTTGATTTTAATTTATTTTGTCACCACATCAGGACCTCCAATTGGTGCTGTATTTTTATTAAAAGCATTTGGAAGTCAGATTCTTCCTCTCCTCTTTCCTCTTCCCCCTTTCCTTCACTTCCCTTTGCTCTTTTTCCGCAGCAAGATCAATACAGGATCACAGCACACAATAAACCAATTTCCCTTTCTGTATCCTGTAGCCAGATGAACGTAATAATTATATCCACTGCTTTCACATTCATACTGTTAGGCCAATATGAATAAAGGACTTAAAGCACATGTGAGCAAAAGGAAAGGGGCTCCAGGAGCATATATATATAGTAGTTTTCAAATAACTTTAACTAGTACAATTTGCTTGTTTAAAATAAGCCAGCATAGTTTTGCAAGACACTCCTTACCCCTCTTTAAAGCCCCTACTAGAATTGCTAATACAGCTTCTCTGTCGTCTTCTTTAAGAGCAAAACCTGAAACAATGAGGAACGGGAAGGACGAGAAAACGGTTCCAGTCAATTCCGCTTTGCAGCTTATATCACCTTATGTCACCGTCTCTGTCTCTGTCTACTCAAATTTCGCAGTGAGCATGGGCATCTCACGAAACAGCTCAATCCGCGTGTAGCGTGTTGCATGCCCCTCACCTCACTCGGCCACCATATTGAGCGCACAAATGTGTGGGCGTGCGTGCATGTATCACATCGCCGCACCCTGCTGATCTTGTATGTCTTTTAAAACATCTATTTTGTTTGTGCACTCGTGTCTATTGCTGATGTTACCAGGTGGGTTGGTAAAATTGCACTATGGGCCACTAAATTTTTTTTGCCACCTAGGCCACAAGTTACCAACTCTCCTCTGCTCCACCCCCTGAATTGTCAGACCAAGAAGCAGTAGTTTTGTATCATTGACGTGCCCCTGTGGAACTCTGTCTTCAGGCCACTGGCTGCATTATGTATATTGAAGAGGGGGCCCAGCGAACACTCTCTTCAACTCTTGATGTCTATTGTTTATAGTAATGTCATCATAGAGAAATATAATACAAATAGCAAATACATGATGATAGAAAATCAGTGTAGTCAGTAATCAGTGATAAAATTACAATTCATAATCTACATAGCAAAATATATGAAAGATACAGAAACCAATAATTATACATACGGGGAAAGATAAAATATTTTTGATGTATAAAATACTATTTTTTGCCTAGAGATAAAATCCTAACACATAGCCTCCAAGTCCTATTACATACAGATGCAACACCACTTGAAGTAAGAATTAAATCACTTTAATAGAGTATAAAAAGATGACAAGATGTCTGCCCATTTATCTGCTATCAAATCTATATGTGAAAACTTTTTCACAATGATTGTGTTGTGATTTTTTTAAATTACCAGGTTTTGAGTGCACCTATCACTGTGTGGGCTGGTGCTTGATTAGCACCATTGTCACAGATACAAGAGAATGGATACAGGGTACAGAGACGCTCATTTACAGGTGAGATATGGAGTTCACCATAAATAGTTCTCAAGTGTTCCAGAGTAACAGTATATTAAACTGAATCAGCAGACAGATAACATACAATTATTTTTCCAATCCATGCACTCATTTGGAAATCTGAGTATATTAGGCAAATAGGTGCAGTACAAAATTTTAATCAAAATCATGTACAGCAAAGTCCAGAGACATTTAACTGTTTTGTCCAAGAGTGGAAGTAATCATACCCAGTCTATCACATGATTTGATTTATGCAGTCTATATCTATTTATTTATAAATTTGTAGGATTTTTTAGAATTGATATCCATGCTATTTTGATGGACTCCATACGGATGATTTTATTTAAGAAATCAGTGAACACCATTAAATGACTGTGCCTGTTTAGATGAATGAGTGATACATTTCATCCTGGTTACATGCTTCACTGCACAGTCTATGTTAAGAGTGGCAATTACAGTGACCACTGGATGCAAATTTTAGCCAAAACTAACTAACTAAATAAATAAATAAATATCATTGTTGCTCTAAAAATAGTAGACTATGCTTTAGAAAGCAGAGTTCGGTTTAAGACGCAGCATATTTTAGAAACCTCGGTTGATAGATAAACAATTTGTGTAAATATAATTTTACAAAAATAAGAATAAACATCACTGAAATAACATTTAATTGGTAAGATCTACATCTAAAAGCAGCAATTCATGAATAATGGTTAATCTTAATTTTAACACATTTTCTCTCAATATTTTGTTGAATTAATATAGAGTATAGGCTCTCTCAATTCCCCATTAAATATGTGTAATTAGCATCTCAGTTACAATGACAGAACCAGCTGTGCTAAAAATTGGAGCAGTTTGTGCTCAATATGGAGGAACATAAAATATGCTCCATCAAAATCATTCAGGACTGAAAATGCATGTTACTACCATCAATATAAATACAGAAATATATAATTACAATAAATATACTTTTTTTACTATAGAACTCTCCTTTAAATGAAACTTCGACAACACAAACAGATATCAACAGATGCTTTATATCTGAAACTAGCTGATGGTCGTAGGAAGATTAGGGATCTTCTCTTTTTAAAAAAACCTCTCCAAACATTGAGAAAATCTAATAGGTTTTTCCCACTAGTATTCTAATAAATGTAGCAGGCTGCTAGAACAGATGCTTTAAAGGAAGTGTAGATTGCACCACACTCACATGATTAGGACCCAGGGACAGAGGGAAACCAAGTACCCAGACAACATACTACAGGTCTTTCACACCTATTACACTGATTTATACAACCTTACACTCACGCACAGGGGCAAAGCATCCAAACAACATCAATGTCAAGTATCGGAAATTCCTGTCCTCCTATGTCACCAGATGCCTCACACCGGAAGCGGCGGACGAACTTGAATACCCTCTGACAATTGAAGAATTGGGGGAAGCACTTAAATTGACTAAATCCCAGAGAGCTCTGGGCCCGGATGGTCTCCCAGTAAGCTATATTCGCTCTTTCAAAGATATGTTATGCCCCAAGCTTTTGAAAGGGTTCAACTCCATTCTAACTGGGGTCAGTTCCCCAGCGATTCCCTCGCCTCTGCAGTCACTCTTATTCTGAAGGAGGGAAAAGACCCTGTGTGCTGTGCAATCTATCGCCCCATATAGCGCCTTAACGAGGACATCAAGCTCTTCATGAAGGCCATGGCACTGTGCCGTAGTAGGGTCCACCCTCAGGGGTTCAGTAGAAAAATGTGCTCAGACTTGGGCTCCGTGGTTTGACTTTGCATCAAAAGTCAGGGCGGGTAACTTAAGTGACAGATGTTGCTCAACATTGTTCATGACTACCTTTGCAGATACGTACCCCATCTGACTATATTCCCTAGCCCAACCTCCCTTCCCCTGCCCCCTTTTTTTAACCCTCCTCTTTTTCTCCTTTCTCCCCTGCTACCTACCATTTTCACCTATTTCTAGTTTTTTCAACTTGATAAATCAGACGTTGAGATGATAATCTTATCCCTCACAAATACATCAATGAATATCACTCAAACAGCGCAAATTAACAGGTGTATACCCCTGTGGCTCTCATATATTGGTTGTATGACTGTCATCTGTTGAGAATAATATACTATGAAAGACAAGGTATACAATGCTCGGTCATGGGACTCTGTTCTGTGCTCTGATGATGTTTGTATATGACGCTATGATTTATTTGATGCTGTCACTCTTGCTAACCCTGATGTAAAATAAAAATTGTCAAAAAATAAAACGTAAGTTCAAAAACCTTTCATCTACACAGACAGAGGGGCCAGGGAACTAAATAAGTATTCCAGCATTACAGGATCACAAACATATTTGTATTCCTGACACTCTAGTGCTCCTTTAATCCCTTTTACGTAATTTGTTTTCACACTGTTAAATTCTGGACATTAATTACATCTAAAGAAGCCATATGAATTGTTAAAAAAAAAATGTTAAAGCTAAGTTAGGCTCTCAAATAAAACTTTGTACTAGACTATTCTTACAACTTGGGGCCCCTATATTTCAGCCTTTCAGTTAAAATCTTTTTTAGGTGTTCATCGAATTTTAAAAGAAACCATAGCCAAGGAAGACACAGGATCAGGCCTTCAATGCTCGAACACCTTCCGCAGTTTATTCCTCTGCCTCCTTGATACATGTTGTGAGGTGTACCTTCCTCCAGGAGTTAGAAGTCTTAAACCCCCAGTCAAAATAAGCATTAAGCTTATTTTGGCCCAGAACTGCAACCATAAGTAGTCAAATGCCAGAGTAAGCTGCTCCGCAGGATATGTCCATATTGCTTTTGCTTGTCGAGCTGTAGGTCCCTTAGCAGCAGCCATTTTAGAATAAAGACTTTGGGCAATCAGTAGGATTGTATGATCAGCAAAGTTTGTTTCAGGTCTGCACTCCATAGAGAAATTGGAAACCCCCATCGGTACAGAATGGAGAAACAGACTAGAGTCACTCAAGGCAAAGCATCAGCTTTTCCCCTCGCCACAAGCACCTCTGTGAGCCTCCGAGACAATCAGCACTGGCAATGACTAATTTATCTTGTCAAAGTCACCCAGTCCACTGGTAACTTGTTTCCAAGTTGGAACTGCAGGCTTTACTGTGAAAATAGGGTTTAGGTTTACACCAAGGAGCTCCAGCAACATTTGTCTACCTTGGTTGGCTTTTGGTCCATGTTCATTATTAAAATCCAAATATATTGGATTAGAAAAGGTTTTCTCTCCCCAATACCACTTTTTTTTTCTTTTTAACCAACAAGTCTCTTTTAGGCATTAAAATAACTTCTTCTATTGCCTTCTCCAGAATATAGGAATAGTTTGGTGTTTTTTTTTCCCTTTAAATATATCCAAGAGGATTTTTGCTTGCACTACATACTCTTCACTATCAGTGTAAGTTATTTTTATTCTCAGCAATTGTCCTCTTGAAATCTCTTAAAGGGACACTATAGTCCCCAAAACAACTTAAGGAAGTAATTTTGGTGTATAGATCATGCCCAATTCATTTCCATTTAGGAATTAAATCACTTTGTTTGTGCAGCCCTAATCACACATGTCTGCATGTAACTTACACAGCCTTCCTATATAGAGACCTCTAATGTTAACACATCCTTTATTGCATCTTCAGTTTCAATAAAGGGACACTATAGGCACCTAGAGCACATTGAAGTGTTCTGGGTGCAAAGTCCCATGTCCCTTAACCCTAGTGATAATTATTGCAGTTTCTTTAAAACTGCAAAAATTACCTCTAAGGGTTAATTCCTGTACCAGACAGTCACTAGAGGGACTTTCGTAATCCAAATGGACCTTTGGTCATCTGACGCTGGACGTCCTCACGCAATGCATAAAAGATATCCAGCGTCAGATTTTTCCCCATAGGAAAGAACTGAATAATGCTTCACTATGAGGGAAATCCTAATGCGAGCACAGCCATTGCCTCACATGCACATTAGGTCTTCCCTGCCGGCTGATGTTGGCAGGGGAGGAGCACGGTCAAAACCTGACCCAACGCCAAGGGACATCTGCGCTGGATTCAGGTGACTTTTACCCTTCAGAACCATGGAAGGGGGGGCACTATAGAATCCCTTTAAAGTGTCTTAGCTCCTGAACTGTTAATAGCCTGCCAGTGCATGATCTATGCATCCATATTGGTTATTTAAACTAAAGTTTTGACACCTATAGTATCACTTTAAAAGGGCACAAAAATTTGGAATAGCTTGCATGTGATTTTTCTGCTTTTGCTCTAAAGATAAAAGGCAAAAGGTAGGGTGGGAAGGAGAGTGTTTCGGATACACAACTTGACTGAAACACAAGAAAATAAATATTAAAAAAAATGGCAGTGCTGCTTAACATTGAAGCTAAAATATATTTTGATGATTTTAAACAAAACAAAAGTTGCCAACACTAGTATAAAAGACAAGGTGCTGACATCTGGACGAAACTTCTCTTAAGAGGTTTAGCTATTATTCCCCCCAAACAACTTATGCTTATTAGATTGAAGATTTTATCTATAAAATTATGCTAGCAGTTTTGTTAGCAAATGTACAGATTAGGAGAAAACCCCTATTTAAAAAAGGATAGGTCTCCCACAGCCAGTCAATGCATTATTGTGCCACAGAAGGTCGCTCTGCTCTCCTCCTGTAGCAGCCACATGTGTTGCTGCAGAAACTCACTGTCAGTGGCGGAACTACTGCGGTCGCCTGGTACCCGCTGCCATGTGTTGCACCCCCTGCCCGCACATTCAGGGGTCCAACGGGTGGCCACCCAATAGTATGACCAGGTGGACTGGTCAGTGCGGTGGTGCTTTAACAGCGTGACCGGGCCCCTTGTGATGACATTAGAACTGGGAGGAAGTGACTGCCCTGATCACTCTTCAAGCTTACACAGAGTGCTGTACCAGAGGAAGGAGAGGAGGAAGTCAGTGTGGGAACTCTGACTCCCATCAGCCTGAGCCACCACTGGACCCCAGGGAAGTCCCCCTCCTGCATCTAAAAGATAGGAAACAGGAGGGTGACTAATGTGTGCATCTCAGGATGGTACATGAGGTGGATGTTTTACAAACCGTAGCATCCACAAAGCATGAAGACTGGTAAACCTTTATTAATTTCCATTGAATACACCATGCATCTTTGGCATATATAGTATATTCAATGTATACAAGAGCAATTTCAGGTAAGTAATTAATTTTTTTTTTTTTTTTTTTATTATAAAGCTCACAAAAGTAAAGGATAAAATACAGGGTGGTATTTTTTGGATGAGTTTACAGACAGCAGGTTCACACACAAAAAAAAAAAAAATTGTGCTAGTTTATACATTTAGTGAAGCCATTGGTGGCATTAACATTTATTGCTTAAATGAACAAGTCAGGTGGGTGGGCAAGGGCAGCTTTAGGTAGTCTGTAAAACAATGTGATATAGGTGACATTTACTTACCTCACTCTTGTGGTGCCATCATTTTTATTTTAAGTGCTTACATTATTGGTGATGCATCCCTTAATGCCTGGCATGTGACTGCATCAATAGAGAGATGACACTTTGGATTATTTCATGAAACTATTGTGTGCATATGGTTTTTAAGACCAGGCAAGCTGTACATTAAGGTTCATTTCAGATGGTGCACGTCAGAAAGGAGATCAGATCTTCCCAGTCACCTGACCATGCAAAACTAGGATGTTCAAGCCCTCTTCTCGTCAACATATCCCCATCAGCATTTCTTCATTTTCATCACCTCCAATTTGTCCTTTGCTATACATGTGAATTTGCAAACTGTAGACAATACAGATATAAGCTAAAAACCTGCTTGAGCTGGCATTTTATGATAAGCCAACTTTTAGGAACAGAGAACTTTGACAAGGAGCCAAGTTGCAGGATAGAGGTATACATTTGGAAACCCTACCTCTAACTCCATGCTCCTTATTCCAATATCTCCCATGTAATTTGGATCTATCCCTTTAAATGTGGCCTTCCAAGCTTCCATTTTCCAGTTCTTGAACTGAATTTTAAATGTTACCAATATTTTTAGTTATTTCTTATCAAGACAGATACTTCAGGTCTAGTTTCCTATCTCATCTACCCACCCCACTACATCATTGCATGCTTATATTATGCATCTTGAGGTTATCTACACTAACATTTTTATAGCAAAAAAAGTGTAAAGTGTGGAAACTCTCCATTAACAAAACAAAAATTAACACATTTGGAGACAGACTAGTACCCCAAATAAAATATTATAGGTTTATTTAAAACTTATTGAATATGTAAAATACAAGTGTCAACAAAATGTTCAGTTTACTTCATACTTTACAAATATACAAAATAGAAGTTTACTTAAATTTATATTACATACTTTATTATGTAAAGTCCTATATAGAAAAATTTGTTCTGTATAAGGCATATGTGGAAAGAGACCATAGTACAAAATTATTGCACATAGAAACCACAGTGCTTCACATACTGTCTGCATTTACATTAATAAATCAGGTATTTACACCTGACTTTGGTCATAATTCTTAAAAACAAAAAAATATCGGAAGACAAAGATTCCTTGTCAAATATGCAGCAGTTTGAGAACTTTGGCTTCATTTTTCTTTGGTACCATTAGAAGCATCAACCAGTAAGCACCAATAGCTAATTGATTTTATAGCCTTTCCTTCAAACATTTCTGTGTCTACATTTAATCTTTTTTGACTTCGTAGCTACAAATATACTTTGAGTATATATATTTCCAGTCATTTTGCATTGAATCAAAAAAAAAAATGCAGTTGTCCCTGTTGCCTTTATCCCTCTTAAGACTTGAGGGATGTTGCAAACCTGCAATTTCCAACATCCCTTGTAAAACTACTTTGAAATCTTTTAGTGTGTTCTTGGAGATGTAAGCTGTGAAGATTCAAGTCTGTTTTAGCTAGAAGAAAAAATGGAATGTTTTAAAATCCAGTCAAAACCCAATTTTCTGAGGTCTTGTCAATTCAAGTTTTTTTTTCGGTTACATATTTATGGATGACAATTTCTCAAATTGCTGAAGTTCCAGTTCATACAATTTGATTAACTGTAGTGCTTGCCGTCCTCTGATGTAGCTACGCCGAATACTGAAATTCCTGTGGCAGTATTGCGCAAGATTACATTAATCCCATATCTCAAAAGTGCCTTTTCATGTGTAAGGCAAGGTGGTCTGACCTAGAGAAAGCTCTGTCACACCTTTGACACTGAAAAGGTCGATGACCTGTATGTTTCCGGTAATGACGTGTTAGTTCATCAGATCGAGCAAATTTCCATCCGCAACCTTCCCAGTCACAATGGTATGGCTTTTCGCCTATAAAAATGAGAACAGGAAAGTATACATAAGGTTAGTATTCATTTAACTATGTTGACTATACCAAGTTTAATCCTCAAGAAAGCAAATTTAACATTTAAAGTCCAACAAATACAGTTGAAATTTACATTTTCCTCATTTCAAATTCTAAAATCTTATTTCTATGAACTGCTTGAGTCAATTGAAAATTTACTATGTGGCAACAGAACCAAAATATAAGAAAATAGTCATATTTGACTTAATTTGCAGCCCATCTACAAACTTTTTAGGCTCTGAAAAAAAAAAAAAAAACCCAAACACCAAAGCTCATGTTAAGAGTGATTTTGAAGCCAGTCTAAATTAATATTTTGATATGAAATGGGATCATGACATTAAAATTAAGGCACACCTTTTTCTGGTCATTATTTTAACATTAAAAATAAAGCATTTGTCAGTGGTTTACTGTTTCTTCGTATGCCAAAAACAAAAGTAGACTATACATTCAAAAAGCCACTCTGAACTAAGTCTTGGAAAAACAAAACAAAAAACCTATATCTATATATCAAGAGAAACAAATCGCAAGGTCTTTGCAATGACTGCAAACGTTACAAAGGAAAGTTGAGCAGTTATATGTTGTAGAGTTAGTTTTATTTGCCGTGATCAAAAAAGGCATTGCCTAGATTCAGGGTTCTACAGATATAAGCATTAACTACAAATATAAAAATCAAGATTTATATTGAGCAGTTATGCCTAATGAGACAAAATATTGCATGACTTAGGAAGGTGCACAAATATGGATTTCCAGCCACCCGCCCCCACCCTTCCCAGTTTATGCAAAACACGATGAGCCTGTCACTTTAAAAGACAAAACAATGTGCGCAAGTTAAGCAGTGGCTAGACAGTGGATTTGGGGTTTATAGTCAAAAGCAGAAGTACTTAAATAGTCAAGAAGTGTTCTTAACATTAGAGTGCCCAATGCCATGTGAGAGTTTTTGCTATTGTCATGTACTTGGCCCTTAGGGTTTGTGTGGTAGTGTCTGAAAAGGATCAAAGTTATTTTACCTTCATTGTTTACTGCAACTACATTTTACTATTCAAAATATGAATCAGGTGTGCTCTTGACATGTTCTATACTTTGCCAACATCCACAGACAACCACACCTCATCTTGTGAAATGAATTTTTCCACTTGAAAGTGTCAAAAAGTAGCAAAAGGTAAGAAAGAAAATAAAATACCAAACAGCCATTAAATAAGAAAATTTGGGGAATGGATGAGTGTGCTTTAGTGGTCACCAATTTCAGGCTTTTTTGCACCTGTTCGCTAACATACAACTTAATTTGTTATTGTGCAGCTTTTGCTGCACAGACAGCATTAGAGATGCTAGACATTTGTTTTAACCAAGAAGTCCACAAAGTTATAGCAATCAAAGTCTTGCTTTATTTTTCATTAAACATATTAAAGATGTGCGCTACATTTAAAGCAGCACCGTCAGTCTAGAGACCTTGCAAAGACCAAACAGTGACATCACTGCCAGTGGTGTGGGCACCAGGGAAAGGTGAGATTTCCCTGACCTGCCCTGTGTGGGTGCCATCTTTTGGCAAGTCATTTTCTGCACTCATGACAGCTAATCTCTCTGCAGCAGTCACTGGTCTTCTGGGTGGTGACAGTGCCGCTTTAAGTATTTTATAAATGAATGAAGCACAGGTCAAATGTGAAAGCTGTACTCTTTGTCCGCAAATTGTGTTTAGGTGATCTGTTTTAAAATCTCACATTATCCTTAATGTGACCGATATGCCTACAATATAATTGTATACACATTAATATATTATACACAAACCAGGGTAGAATATTTTGGAAGTGACATTAGTATGTTATATGAGAATATGATTGCATTGGTCATATACTGTTTGTTTTGAAAACAAAAACCAAAAGACGACTTACTATATTGAAAATCAAACTAACCAAATATAGAGAGATGTAATATATAGTTTAGCATCTTACAGATGTTTTGATTGATAATGAATTTGTTGAACAACAGAGACTAGTTGTAACATAAGGTCATTTTATGCCATTTAAGGAAAAAAAAAAAAAAAACTTAAATTGAATTTGCTCATTTTGTTTCTTTCTGTACCATGCCTAGAGTTTTGCCAACATTCAACCACAAAACCCAAATTAAAAATAGACTTCAGTAGGAAATATGGCTCAGTGTTCACAAATGTTTCACAAAAAAAAAAAAGCTTCATTTTCATAAAATACAGTGCGGTTATAACAAATTAAAAGGTCTTGAAACCTTCTAAACTATCATTTGATATTAAAAATAGCTTTTAGCTCCATACTGGTAAGAGCACAAAATTCAGCACAGGCTAAAGTAGTCTAAAACTACTCCACGTATAAAAAGATTTGTCTTACCTGTGTGTGTTCGCAAATGGGCTTTCAGATGAGAGCTCTTGGTATAGGTCTTTCCACAGCCAGCATATTCACAAGTGTGAGTTGCTGTCCTTTTCCTAGGCCAAGACTTTCGTCCTCTCTTAGGCTTAGTTTCTTCTGGCATGCAGCCCACAGGGGTTAAAAGCTCTAGGGGTGAAGAGGGTGGAGTCAGCATCACTTCTTGTTTCAAATGTTGCATGTTTAAGTGATCTTCAAAAATACTTAGATAAGACTGACCTTGATACTGAAGTTGAGATGGAGGCAGCTGTGGCTGCTGCTGATCTGACGAGAAGTGGGAGAAACTGGCAGAGGTGTGGTAGCCTGAAGATATTGGCAGTGTCTGATGATTTAATGTCTGAGGTGCATGACAATCTCTGACCATCAGCTCCTCTTGTGACAAAGGTTGGTTAGTCCTGCTTGACAGCACCCTTCCTACTTGGAAATCATGCTGCCCTTGTGACTGTTGGACTTGCCCATCCATGGGGCATGCTACCGTACAAGATGAGTGTTCCTGCTTGATTTTTTGGCACATTGTGGGCATCTGGTGGCTACTATAAACCATTGTGTTGTCCATGTCAGAACTGCTCTTTCTAACACTGATGGATTGGCCATAATCACCAATTTCCAAAGCAGTCTTCAGCACAAATTTACCTTGTAGGCTAGCTTGTGGCTGTTGTAAATATACTGGATCCAAATCTGGTCTCATTAGCTCAGCCACAAATCCACCGGAAGGCGAAACATCATTTATATCCGCCAGGTTAAAAGTGGTGGTGGGCACTGTAGATTCCCTGGCAGAGTACATGAGGGTGCTAGCCCCAGAAGGTTCTGGAGCACAACGTAACTGGTAAGTGAAGTTGCAACTGGAAGGTGATGGGATCGCAACCAGAGAGTCTGCGAGAGGAGCTGCTGGTGGAGGGGAAGAGGAGGTAGCAGAAGAGGATGATGATGAAGAAGCCACCAGAGCTTCTTGCTGGATTAAGGAGTTTGACAGTATAAAATCAAAGTCTAGAAGTTCATTAAATTCTTCATGCTCTCGACGAGAAAGAAAAATTTGGGATTCTCCCTCCAAACCCTCAAAGGGGCGAGACTGGTTTAGTACAGGGTGCCTCTTCATGTGGGACAGTTCTTCCCTCCACTTCTGTAAGGAAAACAAGAAAATGTTTCAGGAAGATTAAAAAAAAGAAATAAACAAAAAACCCTTAACACAATGGATTGAACCAATTAAGATTTGTTGCTGCCTTGAAAGATACAGAGTAGTGTGACTAGCCTTAAATTCTATGATGTTATTAGCCTTTGAAATAGTTCTCCAGCTCTGTTTTTAGTTGCCAGTAAAATTATTTGACCTACTTGAAGAAATATGGAAGTCTTGCTTGAAAATAAGTTCCATGAAAACCTTCTGAATGGTTTAAAATAAAAGTGGAATCGCTATGCATTTTATTTTGACTGCTGCCAAATTGTTCAACTTTTTAAAGGGAAAGGGTGTTCAATCACTTGTATAGATCATGATTAGAGCTTTAGAATTGTTAGTCAACAAAATGCTGGAGAGCAAACACATACATATACACAAATTATAAAATGCATCTTTGCTTCATATTTGCAGACATGAAAAAAAATCCCTTAGGGGGACAAAGCAGAGTGTGGTGTTTGGGATAATTCCATAGCAACAAGTTAAGTGATAGTTCAGAGTACTGTAAAGTGTCTGGGAAAAAGAGAAAACCCAAAACATTTAAAGCTAAAAATAAAGTATTTTTAAAATGTATATTGTATGCATTGCATATATAAGAAAAAAAATCTGATACCTAATATTTTGAAGTTTGTGCTTGCCATGTCTTGCAAATGGGCTTCTATGATAAAGCCCAAACAGAGCCCCTTTCATTTGTCATCATAGCACTATCACAAGGGTATGAGTAACAAGGCAAAGACTGAATAGCAGCGCATTGAAAAATAAACAACTGTCAGTATGCGGAAAAAGATGGCCGTGTAAAGCAAGCTAAGATGTTTGTATTCACTGCAAATCTGAACCAAATACGTAACAAAGTTTGTGCTTCATGCTTGCACCGATACACCCCATGCATCTCAGCAGCAGTGGTATATATATGATTCCTATTCAACTTTAATTTTTATTACAAGTATTCGATTGTGGCATCTCAAAATTGTCACACCATTAACAGCTAGCAAGAATTATTAAACCAAACACCTCAGTCACTGGCATTTCCATTCAACATATGGAACATCTGTAATAGCAACAACTTAATTCCAACTACATCTAACTTTGTAAGAAACCATGAACTAAGAGCACCCCCCCTGGAATTAGTCCCAAGTACCCACCATTGCTAGATACAACAGGTGGAGAAAAGTTTATCAATAGTAGAAGACAGAAGATAACTACTTTAGTAATAAATTCAGATAGTCACATTACTTGAGATGCAGTAACAGCAGTTTATTACCTTCCCAGTATTAAAAATTAGGGGTTTATAATTTAACTTAAATACAGATTATCCTAAATTTAGGAAAACAAGACGCATACCTTTTAAAAATATAGCATTGCAAGAACATCCACTGATGCCAAACGTTCAGCCCAGAGTATATCCGCATATTTGATTGGCGTATTAAACTGAGGTTATGGTAGGGGGACTTTCTTTACTGTGATATGAAGCTTGTTTAGTAAACAAGCTTCATTATAGTATATTTTGAAAAATATATCTTCCTTGTCTTGGATCTACATTTTCCAGCTGTCACTTTAGCCTATTTCTTTTCATGTTTGTTGTGCACTTCTTGCAGCTTACTGGGGAAACTACTGAGAGAAAGTTATTAACTTCAAAGTAGCTTTAAAAATCCAAATGAAGAATTCTAATTTGTGCACAGTGCATTTTTTTTTTTTTTTAACTCTTTGCACAAGTATTCCAAATGCAAAGTGTGATATGCCAGTAAGCAGTTTAGACGGCTTTGCTTTCAGTTTCAGCACCAAGACGTGTAGTAATTAATAACTGGCCATTACAGTAGTTTTATATTAGAGTCAAAAGTTTGTTTGTGTTTTTTTTAATAAATATATATATATATAATTTTGATCAGGACATCTTGTAGAGAGATCTACAAACAAAAAACCCCCACAACTAAAGAAACAGGATCACACAGACTAAAATAATACATAAACATAAGTGTCACACCCTAAATGAATATGCACACATTTTGTGTCTGTACAGCTGTAGACAGCTTAAGAACACAGTGTATACAGGGTCTACACTGTAATAATACTTCTTGAAAAAGCAAACAGACAAAGAAGACCGGGTTCGAGTTTGCAAAAGCTCTAACTAAAATAATGGAAAGAAATGCAAACAAATGCAGATTGTTATACTAAATGAAAACAGTGTATGTCGCGTATGTTACACACGATTAAGACCAGGCTTGCCACATGCATTCGGAAAAGCAAATAGGGTGTTCTGCGTTCAGTTCGCATATATGGTATGTTAGTGTATGGACTGATAAAATAAAGAGTTAAACAGCCATGAGCCCATAGCTAGAGTGGCCTGTAAATCATGTGTACGCACAGGTTTCATACTCCCTACAGACAGTACCTGCATGTGTACAGGTGAGCAGTGCTGGATGTTACCTGTGGATATACGGGGTAGATAGTGTTATAAAGGTATGGCTGTGTGTGCGGTGTGCTAGTAATGTGCTCCTCCCTGCACATCCTCAGGATACTCACGTTGCCAGCACTTGCCTGTCTCAGGACTTTGTCTTTGCCGGGGGTCCCCGCTGTGAAGGTGGAGATGGATGGCAGCAAGGTCCCGCTGAGAGCCATGTCACAGTCACTGGGCGGCTGCCTGGGCACAGACACACACAGTCACATGGCGGCAGGCGGGCACCGCACTACCTACTATAGGGGCAGATCCTGACAGGGAGTGCTGTATGGGAGGCAGGGAGAAGGATTTGCAAAGCTGAGAGGACCTGTCATTAAAGCATGCAGCTAGGCTGGGCATGGGAGGGGGTTACAAATCCTTTACTTCTCCTCAGGCCCATATTCATTGCGACTACTATTCCGCTTCTTGTAGCGATCTTCTTATACTCACACACATATATCATAAAATATCACTATACGCTGCTGCAGGTTTTATAACTGCCCACTACTACACCCCTTCCTGAAGGAGAGCGATCATGACACAGTACACCAGGGGGAGAGATTTCAAAGTAGTACCCTGATCGAAAAAAGTGCTGCAAAGTTCTATAAATGGAGCAATCACCAAAATAAAAAATGGGAACCAAATGAAAAGGAATGACAGGTACAGTTTAATTGGCAATTGTTACAAGTTTGCAACTTTACAGCAGTTTTTAGAACACAAAACTATGCTACATCTCCCATGGCAAGTTATGTTAGCTACAGGTAAAGCAGGCATTCAGTGTCAGGGGTCACTAAGCACAAAGCGTTACATAGGGCGAGCTGGGGATTCTAGGGATTAAAATTATTTCTTAAAACAAACCTGCACCAAGCATGCTCCCACATAAATAAAGCCATTGTGATTACAGAACCAGTCCCCATTCAGCTTATATACCACTGCACCCCCACTCTATCTCTGTGTGTGCAGCCGGGGTGGAGGTGCCACATACCTCATTAAGCAGTGACGGCCGGCAGAGCCTGTCCCGGGTGGGTCCCCAGACCGCAGCGAGGAGAGATCGCACTAGAGATCCACACAGAGTATAGAGTAATAAAACCCTATGTATATAATATGGAGCTGTAGAGCAGCCCCCGAGACACACACGGAGCGGGTGCCGTGGAAGCGCAGTCCGGGCTGGCAGTGCAGTGCTCAGTGTCCGCAGTCAGTGCGAGCTGGCCGGGATGCAGGTCATGGTGCTCCGGGGATTCCCTGCTCTGGGCGGCCGGCGGAGCCGCGAGCTCCTGTCACGTATGTCGGCTGTGCGCGGGGATTCCCTCCAGTTGCTGCTGCTCCTGCCATGGGAGCCACCTGGAGCTGAGCGAGCGCGCGATAGCCGTGCCTGGCCCCTGCACGCGGTGCTGAGCATGAAAATTGTAAGTCGCCGAACGCGTCTGTCAATGCCTTATAACTGGAGGGGGCGGGGAAACCGTGCACGTGATACCCGGCGAGGCCACGCCCCCTTTCTTAAGATACATAACAAATCCAATGGCACCGGCCTCGCTGTCAACTGTCAGAGCGCGCGCCTCCGACTCGCCCGGCCAGCAGCAGCAGCAATAACAGCGGGAGCTCCGTGTAACACGACACTCATACAGCAGTAACAGGGTACACATCTGGATTACGTTTTTTTATTATAATAAACTCATTAAAATGGAATAAATCCCCCAAAATAAATTTATATCGATGTTCTGCGCTGTCCCCTACAATAGCGTGGAACATCCCACGTTATTTAATAAGAGCGAGGTAAGTCCCGGAGTGAACCATTCCCCGCCGGGGGAGCCCTCACATAACTGGGGGTCACCCAGCAGCCGGCGCGAGGGAGGGAGGGCTGGGGCTGCACGTGGGAGGGTCCGCAGAGAGCAGAGTGAGGGGCGTGGCTGGCGGGCGTGACGTGAGACGAGCAGCTGGCTGGCAAAGAGCATCCCTGACTCTGACGGCAGCGCCAGTCCAAGCGTCAGCGAGAGGGGGAGGGGTGAAGGGAGCGGTCGACATTCGTGACGTAACTGGCTGTTTGGGGAGCCAAACAAGCTCGTTGCTCTGGGTAACGGTGCGCGCGACCGGATATGGGAGATTCCAGCGCTGGAGTCCAGCGCGCGCGCGCCTCGGAGTGGGAAAGAGCCTGTGGGGTCACGTGGCTGCAGGCAGAGCGGAGCTGGCTGTGCTGTTTAGTTATAGCGGGGATGTGCCGCAGTCATTCAGTGCTTGCTGTAATGGTTCATGTATGGTTAATGTATGGGCGTGAGCAACAATGGAATAGCAGCAACTTTATTGCTGGTGTTGAGGGAGTCTTGGAAATTTTTTTAAACGTTAAAGTGTACATGGCAGCTTTCAGTGAAGTAGAGCTGTCACAGACAGCATCAGCATGTCCAGGACTTCCTGCAAGACTTTAATGTTACTGGAGAGTCTGAATATGTCTGTAAGAGCATCGTGTGTGTGTTTCTGTATATGGTGTAAGAATTATTGTGTTTCTGTAAATGTGAGGATTAGGTTTGTCTGCAAGGCAAGGAATTCTGTATGTGGATATATTTGTGCTTAGTTATGTCTATGTGTGTAATGTGAATTGTATCAATATGTGTGTGTGTGTGTGTGTGTGTGTGTCTGCCTGCCGTTGTATGTAGAGTGCAGGTCTGCAAAATTGTGTTTAAAACACATACACATGGAATAATTGCCCATCAGCCCCCCCTCCTACCAACTCTGGGATAGTCTTCTACTGTTCTAGAAGCAGGATAGCTGGGGAGGACACATTCAGTAATTAGAGAGATTACAATGAGCCCTTGGCAAGGTTCAATTTTAACTCACAAAATGTGAGTAGAAATTTTGAGCCAAAATATCACAATTCTGAGGTCACTTGTAACTGGTGAAGGTCTTTGCAGAGCTGTGCAGCAGGAAGGGGGGAAGGAGGCTCTCAGCCTTCAACTCTACATCTGCCGCCAAGTCCCGGCTTTCAGAGCATTGCCCTGGTTACCACCGCAATGCTCCATTCCATGTGGTGCCAGGTTTGTGGGAAGTGCATTCACCCAGCAGAGCCGCTGAGGTGAAGATTGAGACCCCCTACCTAGAGCGCCACGGGACCACCAGGGAAAAATCCGCCCCCCCCCCCCCTTCCCTGGAAGCAGGTAAGAAACAGGGAGGGGGGAAACACTCAAAAAAATATTAAATTAAAATATAAAAATATATATAATAATAAAATTACAAATATGCATTCCAAAGACACTACTGAGCATGCACAAATGGACTGGAAATAGGCACCAAGTTTAAATGGCCCAAGGATATTAAAATAAATACTTATTTTTGTGAATTTACTTCATACTTATAGTCATGTTTATTAATTACAGATATCTAGTCCAGCACCTTCAGAGAAGTTGGACATAAGAGGCAAGACTCAATCTACTCTTTCTGTAGAACTTCCTGCAAATCTAAGCATTTGTCCTGTGCAGAATGTGCTACACAATTTCATGTGTTCTAAAGAAGCATTTGAAAATATCTAAGCATAAAACATGAATTTGTTCCTTCATTGCCACCGAGAAAAGTGGAAGCCAAACTTTTCCAAGTTTTAATTTGAAAGCCATTGAGACTCAACAACCCATACATACATGGAAAAGTGGAGCAGGTCTCTCTCCCTTTCAGACTTTTCTGGAAAGTGTTAACAAAGTGAATTTTCTTCTTAAATGTCCAGCAAGCAAACTGGACACATTAACCCCTTAAGGACACATGTCATGATTCCCTTTTATTCCAGAAGTTTGGTCCTTAAGGGGTTAAAGAGGTGATCAAAGTGATAAAAGATGGGGAAAATATAAAAGTCTAACCTGACAAGCATTATAAAGAGTCTGAAAAAACAATGTTCATATCAAAACCATTCAAACAGCTTTTCAAGCTACATAACTTTGGGTCTGGGAAAAGCTTCCAAAAGTGGATGTACTCATGACCCAGGTATCAAGAAAAACAAACCATGATTCAAATTGGTAAAGTACCTGGTTTCAGGCACCCCAATGAAAAACATGTAGATGGGTTTTTGAGGCATCATCCTATCAGAGTAGAGCTCTTATTATGGGACATCAATAACCAGAGCTCTGAACAACTGGATAGTCTTTAGTAGACCGCTTTTCAGGAAATTGATGTTTCTTCTAAAAACATTAAAATTGGCTAATGATTTTCTATGCAAAATGATAGATAAATCCCTTAAACTGGCAACCAGCATTATATGTCTTTCTTCAGTTGACAGAAGTTCCATCTGGCTGAAATCTTGGTTAAGACATCTATTTGTAAATTCCCCTTTGAAAGAGAAAAATTGTTCGGCTCTGCATTAGAAGAACTCATTAAACAGATGCTAAAACCAAGAAATTACTACCCCATGGTAGAAGGATTTGCAGATGGAATAAGTATTTTTTTTTCACCATAATCAGGGTGGTAAGGTTTTATCAATATAAGGAAGAAACAACAGGACAACAAACAAAAATATTTCATACAGGCAAGAGAAACACAAGAAATTCTGATGCCAGAATAAAAGTTGGGGGAAGGCTACAAATATCTACCAGCATTTTAAATGCACAGCTCAAAACTTGCAGATTTTACACACATTTTGGAAGATAAGATTTACAAAGAAGCCCACTTCTCTCTTCATCTATTCCACTACTTTTTCCCAGTCAAAAGAACAAGCTCTTCTCAGAAACTATAACACTTCTTCAAAATTAAATAATCGAATAGGTTCCAAGCATGCCATGATTCCAAGGGGTATATTCCTGGTTATTTCTTGTGGAAAAAAAAAACAGAGAAGTCCTTCCAGTCAGTATTAAACTTCAAAAGAGTGAACCAATGCATATAGTTAAAAAGACAAAGTGGAAACACCTCCCAATACGTGGTAATATAGAAAATTTACAAATAACCTGAATTGTAGATCGTGAATCATAAAGATCTAATTTATGATTCACGATCTACAATTCAGGTTATTTGTAAATTTTCTATATTACCACATATTGGGAGGTGTTTCCACTTTGTCTTTTTAACTATATGTGTTTTAGGTGTTAGTGAAGTACACCTGGGACTTCTCCCTAATATATGGTTTTTCATTCCCACTTTGTATAGTGTGTATACTCTACCGTTTGTTTGAACCAATGCATAGACTCAGAGGTTCGGTATAAAACCGATCTTGGCAGTCATGCATATTCTACAGAAAGGAGATTTGATGGCAATCTTGGATATAAATGGTGCATATATCCATGGCTCTAGTGTCCCAGAAATTCTTTAGATTTGCCATCAGAACCGGTCTGAGACTACTACATTTTCAAATTACACCCCTACCATTCAAATTATCCACAGCACCATAGATATTCAGAAATATTCTTATTCACCTGGTTTTTCTGGTGGTATTTTTAGGAAAGCGAGAATGACTATAGTTCTATACCTGGATGACTGGTTCATAAAAGCAGGATCACCTTGAGACCTAAAAAGAGATCTACAACTCACTCTGCAGGTTTTGGGGTACCATGGGTGGATCATCAACTGGGGAAAGTCCAATCTATTACTATCTACAAGGGTTCATTTTTTAAGCCTAGAATTGGAGTCTACTGCTGCCCATTCAAAAAAGACAGAATAAAAAAGCATTAACGATTTCCAGATTGTTTCATAAGAAAGGTTATGAGTATATTAGGTCTGCTCCTGGCCACAATTCAAGTGGTGACAAGCACATATAAGATCTCTGCACTGGAACAAGAACAAAAGGACTTTGATTCAGAAATAAGAATCTCAATAAAAACTTTGGAAAAATTAACATGGTGGACAGATTTGAAGGATCATTATAGGGTCAGGAACACAAACATGTATTCCTGACCCTATAGTGTTAAAATCACCATCTAGCCCCCCTGGGCCCCTCATGCCTCCATAAATATAGTAACAATCTTACTGTATTCAAGCCTGAAGCTGTAACTCTGCATGCTGTTTGCCTAAAAAAAAAAATCAAGCAGTCTGCTGACATCATCAGAAGTGGTAGCCTGATCCAATCACAATGCTTCTCCATGGGATTGACTGAGACTGACAAGGAGGCAGATCAGGGAAAGAGCCAGCATGATTCAAACACAGCCCTGGCCGATCAGCATCTCCTCATAGAGATGAATTGAATCAATGACTCTCTATGAGGAAAGTTTAGTGTCTGCATGAAGAGGGAGGAGACACTGAATGTTTGGATGCATTTTAGGCAGCCATGAGTCAGGAAGGATCTCTAACAGCCATCTGAGGAGTGGCCAGTGAAGTTATCACTAGGCTGTAATGTAAACACGGCATTTTCTCTGAAAAGACAGTGTTTACAGCAAAAAGCCTGAAGGGAATGATTCTACTCACCAGAACAAATTCAATAAGCTGTAGTTGTTCTGGTGACTATAGTGTCCCTTTAAGTTACAAGCCCCGGCAGATTTTGTGCTGGTCAGAAAAGCACCTGAAAGCTTTATCAGCAACGCAAATCAGACCTTTAGAGAATGACATCAAGGCGACTTCAGCAGCGCTTGATAGAAACAAGTAGTTTGGTTCCTCAGTC